GTGGGGATTACAGGCACCAGCCACTATGCCTGGCTAATTTTTGTATTTTTAGTAGAGATGGGATTTCACCATGTTGGCCAGGCTGGTCTGAACTCCTGACCTCTGGTGATCTGCCTGTCTCAGCCTCCCAAAGTGCTGGGATTACAGGCGTGAGCCTCCACGACTGCCTGATTTCTCTGATTTTCTAAGTCTGTACTTAGAAAATCAGAGTCTGTACTTCAGATAACCTTAGCCCTTAGTAATGTCTTATATTTCTCATAAATCACAATCATAGAAACATAAGATATTAAGAATAGAGGGAAACAGAGTTCAGTTAGGTCTAAGTCTTCATTTTAAAGATGATGTGATTAGATATAAGGCATGGGTAAAGGCTTTGCTCAAAATCTCACATCAGTTGCAGACACAGGACCTGAATTTAGGACTATTTTCTCTTAGACCAAAGTTCTTTTCCTACATGGATTGTAACATTTTACCCCAATACTAATTTTCTTGGAGGAAGAGATTATGCCTTTTACTTCCTTGTAAATTGAATGAATCCATTTGGAGGATCTAACTAGAGGCATAACAACAAGTAAACCTTTTTCCTAATAGGGAAAATAGGCAATGAAATATAAATAAGGCAGCATTTACCTGGATTTCAGTGTTGAGCAGGATTCAGCAGTTATATCTGGATTTAATAGAAAGGAATGCCATGACTGATTAGTGACATCTGCCTTGGGTATAGGAGGAGGAAATACAATACATATGTCGGTATGTGTATTTTCCTCTGACCAATAATAAGTCCTCTTAGCCATATGAACCACCTGGAGAGGATAGACATGGAGAAGAGGTGGGGAATATGGATACCTATTCTACCTATTCGGCAACAAGAACAGGAGAATCAATCCTAGCTTCCAGTGTGGTGGCATATGCTCCTACCAGATTGTCTCACTGCTAACGTCTTTGCAACCCCTAAAGCTATGGGCATCTAGTAGGCATTCAATTCAATAAGGACATGTTAACTAATTGAAATTGGGATACAAACCAATGTTTTCACAATAGAACTTTCCATCTTTCTTTGGTAATCCCATATCAATCAAAGTACTTGGCACTTCGTGCATTAAAATTCCTTGTAGAACAAAAATACAACCTTCAAAGCAGGACCATGAATCTCTAGATTATCAATACACAATCCCATCTGATATAAAATTGAAAATATTGTAACCTGATGATTGTACTGTGTAAGTAGAATACCTTCTATATTCTTTGAACCACTCCTTAAAATTGCCCAGAAGGCACAAAAGAAAAAGGGGGATTCAGAAAATCTTCCTTTAACTTGTGGGATTTTATGAGTCAAATTGCGGGGAAAATCTGACTCCGTGTGGACTTCCATTCTATATGTCATGCTTCTTCCGTAGGTTCAGTTTGTGTGATGTCAGGAGTTCCGGGAGCCAAAATAGCGTGGGGGCATGGATCCAATATTGACTCATATTGAATGGAAGAAATCTACACCTAAGTCTGGATGAGATAATTTGGTTGTGAGTGCTAGGATGTGACTGCTGATGACAGAGGAAAAGGTCAACCAAGATGTTAAGTTTTGTCTTCCTGACTACCTACTTGGTTAAGACGGAGGATAGCAATTGAAATCTTGCTGATGTGTCATATATAACCATAGCCAGTTTTCAGAAAAAAAGTTTAGTTGAAAAGAAAAAAGAAAGTTTTCAGCCCCTCTGTTTTAGTAATATGGTCACACCTTGGCTTCTGGTGGCTTTGCAAAACTTTTAAAGTATACCTTGGTGGTGAATTATTCTGCAGTCTCAGAACTGGCTGAACCAACAAAGTGTGAAACCTCTAGTTTGCATGTGCAACAAAAGGTGTTTTACAGGCAGAAAAATGAGAGAAATTTCTTTGTTTGCAAAGTTGACAAGACAGAAAAAGATCACAAATGGATATACTATTGTAATGATAATGTTCTGAACCAAAGAGTCATATGTTGAAAGATGAAAATCTAATAGCAGATATTTCATGTCCAGCCTGGAATGCAGGACCAGCTATATAGTTTGTGGAAACAAGCGCAAAATGAAAATGCGGGCCCTTTGTTAGAAAAGTGATTAGAAACTCCAAGAAAGTGACAGCAGAGCATTAAAGCAAGTGTGGGCTGTTCTAAGTTCAGGCTCCTGACAGACTGCACAGGTTGCAAGCCCAGAAAGTTGGTTTCGCTGGGATGTTTAGGCAAGAGTTTCAAAAATGTATTTCAAAAACAATTTCAAAAAATATTTGCAGTCTTACTATGTTTTAAGGAATTAAAGTGTGATTACTATCTCAAAAATTCTACAGAAAAAAAAAACCAGAAACAAAAGCCTGATAGGGTGTAATTATTTGAATTCACATATTTAACATAGGGGCACATACAATAATCTCAATGGATATTGATAGATTGGGGGATGGATTGACCAAGGGTTCCATTTTCTTTGGGAACTTCTTGGATTTAGACTCAGTTCTGCATTAACCAGTTGAATGAATTTAAGCACATCACTTGTTTTTCTGGATTTTGATTTACAAATCTTAAAAGTAAGGGAGCTGACTGTAGATAATCTATAATTTCATAATTCAGTATTTGGCCATGTCATCAAGAGTTATTAGAGCTTGGATTTTAGCCATGTAATTACTATTCGTAAACATATGGCCACACTGTAAACATATTCTTAATATAATCTGTTATTTTGAATTGGCATTCTCAATTTACAAATGGCTAGACAACATATCCTTCCCTATTACGGATCTCAACATTTTTAACTCCTCAACCTTAATACTACATTCTAGTGGATCAATGAACTTTACTCCTTTCCAGAAAGTTGTGAACATTCCTTCCAGTGACTCAGATGTTGACCATTAGAAGGTATTGAGAGCCTGCAGTGTGTCTCAGGCTTCAACCCACATCCCTTTCCCACCTGCAAGCACATTCTCTGGACGTAATTTTTCTTGAGCAGAGCAAAAGTAGAGCTTTGTGTGCCACAATGTAATTTTTACATTCTTCACTTGCTTAACATGAGGTTTGGTTTCACATAAATGTTTTGATCTTATTTATTCTTTGGAAAGATTGTCCTTCAGAGAGCTTTCTGGCTTGTTTTCCCACATAAAATAATACATGAAATTGTCCCAGTCAGGAAGTGTTGGCTAAAGAGATATGACATCATTCTTCTAACATTAATTATAAATATTACTTAATTAAAAGAGAATTTCTTACAGATTAGGCCTGATAACATTGGGACTAGAACTTGAGGGCAAATTACTCAAAAGGCAAGCATTTGAATTTACATTTATTTAGCGCTGTTTATGAGAAAATCTCCATGCTAAATTATTTTAGGGAAGAGAAAGACATCATAAAAGCAATGAAACAATTTTTGATTTTCAGAAACTCAGTCTAACGTGGGAGAAAACACACAAATAACTATCTTAAATACAAGATTGAGGAATCAGAACTCTTAGAAAAGTACAAACCAGGACTTGTATAGAAGACATAAGATTAATTTTAAGGAGGATAATTTTAGGAGAACTCAGGGAGATAGGAATTTTTAAGCTGGGCTTGGATGGATGGCTACTACTCTCAGGGACCCAAATGAGAGGAAAAAGAATGCAAGACCAAAGAAACAGCATGGGCAAAGATCCAGGGTTTTTTTTTTTTTTTTTTTTTTAAAGAAATGACTAGTCATCCAGTGTTCCAGAATAATAATAAACTTTTACTGAGTGATTACTATATGCCAGGAAAAATTCTTAGCACCTTATGAAGACTACCTGAATAAATTTTTAACTGAAGCATGGTTGAAGACACTATTATCAAACCATTCTTACAGATATGGAGACTGAATCATAGTAGAATTAAGAAGTAACTCACAATCATATAGCTAGATAGTGAGGGAGCGAGGAATCAAGTCTGCACCCATAACTGCAATACTTTTATGTACACAGCGCAGGTAGAAATGGGAAGTGGGTTGGAACCAAAGAGTGGAGGACTTTTTGTGCCATCCCAAAGTGTTGTATTTCATAAATAAATTACAAAGGAGGAGGAATAATCCTATTTTTTTGTATTTCAAAGACAAAGAAATAAAAAGATTAAAAGATTCTCTGTCATTACTATTTGGAACAATAAATTGTTTAGAGCTATATTGTTCAATATAGTAGCAACTAGCAATATGTGGCCATTAGGCATTTGAAATACGACTAGTCCAAATTAAGATACACTGTAGGTATAAAATGTACATTGTATTTTGAGAATTTAATATGACAAAAAGAATGTCAAATACCTTATTAATAATGTAGCATATTGATGCATACTGAAGTAATATTTGGGATATATTGGTTTAAATAAATGTATTTTAAAATTATATTTACCTTTTAAAAAACCTTTTATTAATGAGGCTACTAGATCATTTAAATATACCTGTGTGGCTTGTATTATATTTCTATTGGGCAGTGCTGATCTAGAGCAATTTGAAATGTGTGGTAGATATTTTACTAACCAACTCTGATGAAGGTCTTTCTCACCAAATTGGTCTTTTAGCCCCATTCTTTCCTTGCTTTCTGGTCATTTGCAGGAAAAATTTTAAAAGGCTCCCCCTTTGCAAAGGTTTGAGAGGCCCTAGAATTTCCTTTTTCACTTGTTCCCAACCACAAGCAAATGATCAATGTGCTTTGTGAATGAGGAGTCAACATTTTACGAGGGCAAAGGGGGGGAGGTGTGAAAAAATTTCCAGTCCTTGAACGGTGTGAAGTAAAAGTGCCTTCAAAGAATCCCACTAGAGTGGCACAGGTGGGCATAATGGGTCTGTCTCATCGTCAAAGGACCCAAGGAGTCGAAAGGAAACTCTAACTACAACACCAAAATGCCACAAAACCTTAGTTATTAATACAAACTAGCATCCCTGCCTATCTGTCACCATCTCATCTTAAAAAACGTGTGAAAATACGTAATCCTGAGGAGACTTCAATTAGGTATAAATACCAGCAGCCGAAGGAGGTACAGTACATTTTTCTGATCATCTGAAGATCAGCTATTAGTAGAGAAAGATCAGCCAAGACCTTTGGACCTGATCAACTTGATACAAGAACTACTGATTTTAACTTCTTTGGCTTAGCTCTCTCCGAAACAATGAAATATACAAGTTATATCTTGGCTTTTCAGCTCTGCATCGTTTTGGGTTCTCTTGGCTGTTACTGCCAGGACCCATACGTAAAAGAAGCAGAAAACCTGAAGAAATATTTTGTAAGTATGACTTTTTAATAGTACTTACTTGTGGTTGAAAATGACTGAACATTGACTTGTTGTAGCATCTCTGATAGGCTGTGTTCTCTCGTACACAGTCATTCTGAGAAGATTTGGTGTTATTTTGTTAGTTATTGATTGAATGAGTTTCTTGATTAAATAGTCTAGATATTGCTTTAACCTTCTGCTCAATTTGTATAGATACTTAAAACAGATTTATTAATCTTCCAAAAGACAGGCATAATATGGGTATGAAACGCAATCATGTTAATAATTTTGTGGTGAGAACTCATTCAGTTGTGATAAGTCAAGGAGTACACATATCGAAAAAATGATTGGCTATTTGTTTCTGACTTCTCAGACTCTAAGGTCAAGATTAGCATTAAAAAGGGTAATAGGTAACGTTTAAAATTAAAGTAAAAGAGGGTGAGGTCCTTAAAGCTTTGGCTTAAAAAAAGATCACTGATAGGTGATTTTCTCTAAAAAGTGATTTCAACATTTTGCTGCTCTGTCTATATTACTTGTGAGTTATTCCTGAATTTAGTTGCTCACTGGAATTTTGTAGAAATTATAATTCTGGCTAAGGAATGTTTAAAAATTTTAAGTGAGTTTTATGAGTTTCTTTTAAAATTTTATTTATGGTTAATGAAAACAGTTTTTACATTTTAAATATTTTATTATTTGTTTAAAACTTAGCTATTATAATTGTTGCTGTCATAATAATGGTCAGGTATTCACAATTGATTTTATTCTTATAACATAAAATCAAATCTTATATACACACATACACACAAGCACACATTTGGAACTATCTTTTATAGCTGACATAATAATACCCCACAGGAAGGCACAGTAGATGTTATAGAAACCTGCACCATTGGGGGGCAGTATTTTATAGTGGGGTGGCTTTGCTGTTTTTGTTTTCGTATTTTTTAGCTTAGGTTGAAAATACTTTCTTTAGTTTACTATAGTTTTTGGGACCCTTGGAGTATCATCAGCCTTGTTGGGCTCATTTGTGACATTGCAATTTAATGGTTACTTTGGGAAATACAAAAGCTAAAAGAGCATAACAGCCTTTGGCTGTATCTCACATAAACCTTTTGTGAATACTTATTGTTAGAACTAAGCAGAAGATTTGAAAAGGAATATTGTCACAACTGAGTTCAATGAAACTTGAAATATATTTTAAGGTAGTTTATGGGCTAATTATAAACCAGTTTTTTCTTTTTTTTTTTTCAGAATGCAGGTGAGTCAGATGTAGCGGATAATGGAACTCTTTTCTTAAACATTTTGAAGACTTGGAGAGAGGTAAGCTGAACATTCCCATTTGACTAATTTTCCTGTTGCTTGTTTTCTGATGGATAAATTCACATAATCCTCTCTTTGTGTTCTTTCCTTCCAAGGAGGGTGACCGAAAAATAATGCAGAGCCAGATTATCTCCTTTTACTTCAAGCTTTTTAAAAACTTTAAAGACAACCAGAGCATCCAAAAGAGTATGGAGACCATCAAGGAAGACATGAATGTCAAGTTTTTCAATAGCAACAAAAGGAAACAGGATGACTTTGAAAGGCTGACTAATTATTCGGTGAGGCTTTTAAATTCTTTCTTTGGTTTCACGGTGGAGGCTCTTGCAAGGCATGTATTCTCCAGAAAGTAGACAATAGCTACTTAACAGTTGCTAAAGCTATGAGCTCAACCCATGGCTGAAACTCTTTCTTACTAATTCCATTCGTGTTTGGGTGACTTTGCAAAGTCAGTATGGGAATTACTGAAGTGTGTAATGTAGAAAAATGCTGGCATTGTAACTATTGCATAAAGACAGGTGAATTGAAATTCCAGTGAAGAGGAAGTAGGTGAAGAAGAAGAGAAGGAGAGAGGAGTACTGAGCAATTCTCTTATTGTCCCTTGCTTATATGATGGAAATTCTCTTGCTTTGAATGGGAGGCTGTCTGTCTTAATGGAAAGAGCGGTGGGAGGAGCTGAGAAGTTGTATGTTCTCCCAACTCAGCCACCAAGAAACTGTGATGAATCACGTAGCTGGCTGGGGCTCAGTTTCTTCATCTTAAAAGGAAACTGTTAGGTTCACTACATGCGTTTAATGATCTTCTTTGCTCCAAAACTCTACAATGCCAGGCATAGAAAATGAGAATGAGCTAGAATAAAGCTATAGCCTTTGAGTAGGTACCAGGGCCATCCCATGCAAGTCTCTAGCCAACCTTTTGGATTGTACAGCCTAATTAGAAGCAAGAATGGTTGCTGTTTGTTCGTTTTTTAGGGAAAAGTAGGTAGAATTTATACCTTATGAAAAGATTGTTCTATCAACTCTATCAAATTTCAGAATATCTTAGCTGGAGAAATCCTTAGACTTCTAACTCTTCCTTCATGAACTTGTCTTGTATCTTTAAATTATAGCTTCTGTAAACAGATAGCTTTGAAGCATAAAGACAAATCACGTTTTTCAAAATTTTATCTGGAGGACAAAGGCCTCTAGATTCCTTTGGGGTTGGCTTAGATATAAATGGGCTCAAATGAGGGGGACCGAGGTCTTCAAGCTAGAATTTGTGCTCTTAGGATTTGTGCTCAGCTTTCACTATCGCTTAGTCTGCCTCTCACTCCTCTCATGTAAGCTCCCAGAAACCGAAAGGAGATGTGGCAACTGGCAGCCTTTGGCTATAAACTAGACACTCAGCCCTTGTCCCTAACCGAGTGGTGCCCCTGGCTTACTTTTCAGTCCTGGATAAATCTCTTAGTTTCTTGGTGATGATTTGCACATTGGAAAGTAAAATTTGTCACTTGCAAACACACAGCTCGTAGAAAACTTTTTCTACTCTGCAGGAACTGGGCATTAAAAAAGTAAAAAAAAATCTGTTGGTTCCTTCCTTCTGGAAGCTCCAGACCTCCTGCTTCCTGATGGGCAATTTGAGTGAGCTCTATTAACTATTGTCCTCTTTTGCTCACTTGCTAAGCTATTTTAGGCATGTTATGCCCTTTGATAATTAGTCTTGTAGCCTGTAATCCCCCAGCCACCCTCAGAAATGTGGTGAGGTAGCCATAGTGTTCCCAAGAACAGAAAAAATGTAATGGCAGAGCCAAGAGAAAAGTAAATGCTCCACATTTTAATGGCCCTATTGGTTAGAGTGAGGAAATTCAAGCAGTTTAATTTGCCAGCATAGAAGGCAGGGTACTGGAAAAGTTGTTGCAATTCCTAATTTTAAAATTTATATATCAGTAAGCCATATACATATGATTGGTGTTTATTTTAAAACCCATTATGGAAATTGAGAGACAGACCTAATTGGGGAGAAATTAAAAATTACAGTTTTCACTTGTTTTGGAATTGGTGTTTTCTAGGGTACCCAACCTAGATCGGTGGTTCTCAGACTTAGGTGGATATCAGAATCACCTGGGGATCTTAGTGAAAGCACAGTCCTTCCACTTCATGCTCTTGGGTCTCTGAGATTTTTCTTAGGTTTCTAGATTAATCTGCTAGGCACAACAGTGAGAATCATTGACCTATAGTTAGTCTTTTGATACATACAGGAGATACTAAAGTATGAAGTGATATAATTGGTAGATTGATAATAGAGAGGTCATGGAAACCATCTCCTCCTCCTTTAGATAGGAAAATAGAAGTTCAGAGAGGTTAAGTGGCTGGCTGAAGGTCAGAATTATTGCATACATGAGATTCAAACCCACCTTTTCATATTCACTCCACACCCGGGCTCTTTTCACTACATAATTTCAAGAATTCTAGAGAAGAAGATTTAAGGATATGTGATGTACTCTTAGACATTATAGCACAACTAGCAATGTAATTGTACTTTTTAGCCTTAACTGCTGAAGAAGTAAATATTGTATATTAAGGTAATACGGTTCTAGTCAGACCCCCTTCCATTTTTTTTTAAAGGAATACTTCTATTTTCACTGATCATCATGCCATTCACAGAATATCATGATGGCTTATATGCCTGAAATTAATTTTTATCTTTTCTTTCCCAATAGGTAACTGACTTCAATGTCCAGCGCAAAGCAATACATGAACTCATCCAAGTGATGGCTGAACTGTCACCAGCACCTAAAACAGGGAAGCGAAAAAGGAGTCAGATGCCGTTTCGAGGTCGAAGAGCATCCCAATAATGGTTGTCCTGCCTGCAATATTTGAATTTTAAATCTAAATCTATTTATTAATATTTAACATTATTTATATGGGGAATATATTTTTAGACTCATCAATCAAAGTATTTATAATAGCAACTTTAGTGTAATGAAAATGAATATCTATTAATATATGTATTATTTATAATTCCTGTATCCTGTGACTGTTTCACTTAATCCTTTGTTTTCTGACTAATTAGGCAAGGCTATGTGATTACAGGGCTTTATCTCAGGGGCCAACTAGGCAGCCAACCTAAGCAAGATCCTGTGGGTTGTGTGTTTGTTTTACTTGATGATAAAATGAACACTTATATGTGAAATGATACCATCCAGTTACTGCCTGTTTGAAAATATGCCTGCATTCTGAGCCACTGCTTTAATAGCATGTCAGACAGAACTTGAATGTGTCAGGTGACCCTGATGAAAACATAGCATCTCAGGAGATTTCATGCCTGGTGCTTCCAAATATTGTTGACAACTGTGACTGTACCCAAATGGAAAGTAACTTATTTGTTAAGATTATCAATATCTAATATATATGAATAAAGTGTTAAGTTCATAACTATTTATGCTGTGTCAGATTTTTTCTAAGTGAGAACTGGAGGGAAAGAACTATTAGTAGGGAGAGGAGTCATCTTAGTTTTGGAAATTTTAGAGTTGCATTCGGTTCCATTAAATGTGGTGTTTCTTTCCACAAGCATTTTGTTGGCTTTCACTTTTCCAGTTGGCAGCTCTTTGAGTTATCTTTCTAAGATACAGATTTAATTATGTCACTATTTAATTCAGAGGTTCTGCTATGGAATGTAGTTTAAACTGCTTAGTTTGGCACACAGAGATTTATTTCTAGCCCCCTCTCCACCTTCCTATTCCCTCCTAATCTCAGAATCTTCCTCTCCCCCATCCAATGTTGGCAAGCACCACAGGGTGTGGAGTAGTGGGCGTTAAGCTCTAGGGAGAAGGCTTGGATTAGAATCCAAGTTATGCCATTACAAGTGCTGTGACCTTTAATACGTTATGTATATTGTCTAAGCTTCAGTTTTATTGTCTGTAAAAGAAAAATAATTGTGTCTTCCTCATAATATTGTGGTAAGAATTGATTCTTTCATTCAAGAAGTGTTTCTTGGAGTACCTACTATATGCCTGGTGCTGTTCTAGGTCCTTGAGATACCTTACTCAGCAAAACATCCAAGGATCCCTGCCCCTGGGGACTTTGAAATTAAGGAAGGGACAGATAAACAATGAACAAAATACACAATATGTAAGTCTAATGCAAGGCATTCTCTAAGGTGATTGGTGTCATGGAAAAAAGTTAAAAGGAGAGTAGGACAGGGGAATTAGGAATCCTATGTGTGGTGGGGTGGGAGGGCTAGAGGTTTAAAAGAGTAATAATATGTGGCCTCATTGAGGAGATGTCATTTGAGGAAGCACTTGTAAGAAGTAAAGAAAGTAGTTATTTGAATTCCTGGCAAGGCGTATATCCTTGCAAAGGCTCTGAAGTGGAGATTTTCCTCGAGTGGTAGAAGAACCAGCAGACCAGTGTGCTGGGCTCAGAAGATGGGAGAGAAAGCCACCCACATTTGAGAGGAATTCAGGGGAAGCAATGTCCTTAGGGGAGGGCCAGTTTATCTTTTGAGTGGAAGGAAGTTGAGGATATGATGGATTTGGTTAGTCCTGGGCTATAAATTCCAGAAGACCCAGTGAGGCAAGGTAAGAGAGGCAGTCATAAAAGGGAATGTGCATAGGGATGTGCTGGGAGTCTGAGACTTCTTATGATCACTGACTTAAACAAGATAATGGATATAGTGAGATTAATTCTAGCGGCTTTGGAACATAGTGGTGGCAAGATTGTGAATGTCAAGGATAGAGAAGGTTAGGTATCTGGGGATTCCTTATCAACAGTTTCATATAACCCTCCAACAGCAATAGTAGGATTATGTGAAATACTTCATGAAGAAGGATCATTTGAGTCACTGACCATAATCAGCAGTCATTATTTTTATTATGGGGTAACTAAGTGACAGTGGGTGAGACCTGATTCTAAAACTTTTGAATCTTTGATGAAGCAAGATTGAAAGTAAATTGGGTTAATTTTGGCACAACTACAGCTAAAATGATCTGCTGCTGGTGTCTCCACTCTTGTCAGTATTAAGATTGATTGATGCAGACTTTGATGTATAAACAGATGGAGGGCTACTCTGAACCATAGTTCCAGACCATACTTCTGGGGAAGGGATTGGAAATTCCCACCGTCAATCATCTTGAGCAGTGATTAATCATAGCATGTAATGAAGCCCCAGGAGATGAATTTTAGTCTAGGGCTGGGTGAAACATCTCCTCTCCCTGAGGTTGGTCTCAGTTTGGCCCAGGCTGTGAGACTGGAGAGATATAGACTGTATTAGGTGCTGTGATGATAGCAGGGAATGAGACAGGGAGAAAATCCTTTAAGAGAACTCGAGCCGAGACTGGCCTATGCAGTGGTTGTCAACTATTCTCTACCTTGTATGTTTCTTCTGTTATGAGCACACATCGTTTCAGAAGTGTGATGAAGCTTGTAGGAGGGAAGGACCATGATTTAGACTAAGAGAGCTTGGGGGTAGCAGTGATTCCTCTCCCAGTGCTAGCAGGGGCAGGTATCTCTTTAATCTTGTGGGCAGCTGCAGCAGCAGCCTGGGCTTGCAGTGGGAGAGTTCTTATTGTATAGAATCCCACCCTTAGTGACTTTCAGAAATTGCTGGCATATCCTTAATGGTGGGGAAAATTTTGGTGATTAAAACTTGAGCATGAAATGTCAATGGAATTTCCTGTTCTTTCTCATCCTGTTCTCTTCATTCTTCTCTTCCTCTCATCCCATTTGAACAAGATTATTATAAATCAAATTAGTGCATCTGAGCAAGGTAGACATATGTAATTGCCCACTATGGGCAGTCAAATTCTGAGCACAGTGTGAAGGGAGACAACCTGGTGTGGAAGGTGAACCTGAGCAGAATGAGAAGGTCCTTGAAGAGGTGGGTGAGCATATTAGTTTTCTGTTGCTTTGGTAATAAGTGACAACAAGCTTAGTTGCTGAAAAAACCCCACATATTTATTATCTTATCATCGTGGTGGGCATAAATCCAAAATCAGGTTCAGCTGGCTAAAATCAAGACAGGGCTTGTTCCTTCTGGAGACTCTAGGAGACAATTTGTTTCCTTGACTCTTCTAACTGCTGGAGGTTGCTGTCATTCCTGTTAGTGGCCTCTTCCTTTTCAAAAGCCAGCAGAACAGGATCTTTCAGGCTCTCTCATTCTCTCTGACTGTGATACTCCTGCTTTCCTCTTATAAGGACCCTCATGATTTCACTAAGATCACTTGAATAATTCAGGAGAATGTCTCCAAGAATTTTAACTTAACCACATCTGAGAAATTTCTTTTGCCATATAAAGCAACAGTCCCAGATTCAGAGAATTAGGATGTGTACATCTTTGGGGGTCCATTGTAGGAGGGCAGTCTATCATAGGAGGGAAGCCTGGCATGGGTCCTCTGAACCTCAGAATAGCAAGGAGGTCCCCAAGTGAAAGAATGGCCTGGAGTGGGGTGTCAGAGTCCGGACAAGGTAAGGAGAACATCCGTTTACTGGGATGGCCCAGAACAGGTGTTAGAGTGAAGTAACAGTGGCATCTGCACAGGGGAAGACACATTAGGGCAGATGGGAAATTGATTAAGTAATTATATTAATGATAATGGTAACCATTTTCCTCACTATTGAAGGAAGCTACAGTACAGAAAGGGAGAAAATTAGAATAAATCCTATGACATCAAATTAGAATTGGCTGTATTGTATTAACTTATGCCCTTCAATATACAGAGGTAGATATAGAAATAAATAAGAGCTAGAAATATTAGTTCACCCTATCTCTGTCCACTGAGGGGGCCTGGGAGTAGTAACATCCCAATAACAATGAGAACACAGATCACGCATATCTTGACCTCTAAATACCATTCTCCACTGGAAGGAACCAGAACTCTTTGGAGAATTGGCTGATCCCAGAGTGGAGGCAGTGAAAATACATGGTGTGCTAGAAAAAAAGAAGTATTCGGAAGATGATGGAGACATGTTAAAAGGCACAGAAACCAGCTCGAAGGGACTCCCACTGGCCAAATATGGGAAAATGTGAGCATCAAAATAGGGACAGAAATGTATTATGACCTTTTGAATAGGAAACCATGAGTATATATTGATATAAATGAATACACTGAAAATTTGGTGAGGAATGTTATACTCACATCATTGCAAAATATCTCCCTACAAAATATTTATTAATTACAAATTGTAAAGGAGTAATTTTATAGTAGAGAAGCTTAGCACACATCATCTTAATTAAGGAATAAAAGTGAACATTCTTAGTAATGAGATAAATGAAAATGGTGTCCTACCTAATAGGATGCAAGGAAATGAACACAGCATACCTTTTGTGATATCTCTGTGAAAGATGCATAACTTATTCCAGTCATGAGAAAACATACAAATGCAAACTGAGGAGCATTCTACAAAATCTCTTGTCTGTAGTCTTCAAAGTATCAAGGTCATATAATTAAGGACAGACTAAGGACTGAAGAACCGTTATGTTCTGAAATGAATTAGAGAGACATGATGGCTAAATGCAGTACAAGTTTAAACTGGATCCTTGTGCAGTAGAAAGCATTTTTAGAATAACTGGTGAACTTGAATGAGGTCTGATAAAGAGACAGTAGTAACATCAATTTAAACTTCCTGATTTTGAGGTTTGTATCCTGGTTAAGCAAGACATGTCTTTGTGGGTAGGTAATGCACATTCAAGTATTCAGAAGTGAAGGGGCATCAGGATAGCCATTTACCCTGAGATGATTCAGGAAATATAAAGCTTTTCCAACTCTTCTGTAAGTTTGCCATTTCTTTCTTTTAAGAAAGAGTCTGACTCTGTCACCCAGGCTAGTGTGCAGTGGTACAATCATGGCTCACTGTAACCTCTGCTTCCTGGGCTCAAGTGATCCTCCCACCTCAGCCTCCAGAGTAGCTTGGACCACAGGCATGCCCACCATACCCAGCTAATTTTAAAATTTTTTTTATGTTTTGTAGAGATGGGGTTTCACTGTGTTGCCCAAGATGGTCTTGAACTCCTGGGCTAATGTGATTTACCCACCTTAGACTCCCAAAGTCCTAGGATTATAGGCGTCCAGCCTGCAATTTTTTCTCAAAATATAAATATGAAAAAGTCACTGGGAGATTATTTCAGAGTCATAGTCTGGTGAGATCTAAAATTCTTGATAACTCAGAACTCCCCATATTTAACTTGCAACAAGGTGAAATTTCTAAAGGTAATCACACCTATATATTCACCTCATCTCCATGATCTTCTTGTAATGTCACTGACACTCCTCCAACTTAAAGATGAGGATATATTCCTCCCCTAAATACTGGGCAGGGGCTTGTGACTTTGCTTACCAGTGAAGTGAAATGGAAATGAAGTCACATCCTTTGAAGTCTAGGGTGCAGCCTCTTCCTGGCTTCTCTCCCTCTCAAGACCTTTGCCCTCAGAACCCAACATC